TTCTTATAAATATATAATTTCAATATCATTTTCGCAACACAAAGAATATCGTGTAGACGTTTAGTTTTCACTGTTCTTATTTATTTGTTAACGATCCTTATCAACGTATCGACACGACGATCAGAGGGCAATAATTGTTAATTGAAAAAAAAAGAAAAAAATGAGGGAAAAAAAAGTCGTTACAATTCGGAGGAACATACAACGCATACCTTATCGTTTGAGCTTGCAGATGATCTATATCAAATGTTATCTAGTCGTTCCCAAAAAGTAGTTTATCCAGATTAATCGTCGGTTATTAGACACGTAAGTGAATAACGATAAAAAAAAAAAAAATATATATATATCAGGTATCTTGGCAAACTTTTGGCGAGGCGAGGGAAATATATACATTATTCATAACTATAGTTATTAAACGCGTGGGAGACTGCAATTCATTGATATCTAGTTCTTTGAATGATAATTTCGTTCTTGTACGTTGATACCGAGCTGCAAGAACACGTTGCAAACGCTTTGCAAAATCGACTATATCTATGTAAGACGTAGTTGTAAGTTTTCGTTCGACGCTTCTCTTCTTTTTTTTTTTTTTTTTTTCTTTCCGAAAGAAATTTCGTACCGTGAAACTAGTCGCTAGTTTAAAGAAAAGTATTGCGCGTGAAGTATTATTCGTATTAAGGCTAAGAAAACAGAAGGATCTATTTCACTATGTATAATAGCGTGTAAGATGAACTACGCGATAATTTTAACGTAAAGCGAAAGATCGAAGATCTAGACACGTAAGTTTCCGTTTCACAGTTTTTTCGTCGAGTTCTTCAGTTGGGGAATTTTTCATTCCTGCAAAGGAAATCAGAAGAGTCTATTCTAGTCCTTAGCTCGTAAGGCGATCGTATGACACGTCAGGTGGCTCGATTCACTGGTCATACGTTATGTTAAGTGCTACTTAAGGTTAACGATAAATCCTAATCGAGTTTCGCGTAGAAAGGGGAATGGCATGCCAAGTAAACGTGTTAGATTAGACCTAGTGCTATTAATTAACGTCGTCGATTATTAGATTGTCGCTCTGATCCGTGTCAATGCGAATATTCAATTAGATTGTTCAGTGAAATCACAATGAGACACAATCCCTTGAGAAATTTCTGCGCCAGTGAATTTCTTCAAACAAGTTTTTTTCGAAAAAACATCTCTCATTTGTTGCCTCCATCTTGCTTATATAAATTATAGCAAAGATAATAATGCAGTAGATAATAATGAGATTCACCGATAGAAAGAAGAAGAAACCTTTTTGTTATTGTTTCATCGATGAAATTCTTTTTAACGTCCAACTGTGAGCAGTATTTTTTCAACAAACTAGAAATTTCTGATCATGATCTCTTACAAAAACTGCGTTCCTCAAATTTCTTCCTCAGCCTGTCCACTCAAGTATGTGAGTCACACATCAGACAATACCGCTTGATAGTGCCAGCGAATACTTCCCCTAAAACAGAGATATTAATACACTTAATTAATTAAATAATCTACAAGACTGCGTAATACATATATATATATATATGTATATATGTATATGTATATATGTATATGTATATGTATATGTACTACTTGCATAGAAACGTTGCGATCTCGTACTTTGAAACAGTGCAAAGCTTTTCCACTTGCGGACGGTCTGTTTGCGTTGGTACATTAAATGAATTCCCGAGAGGATCTTTCCGCGTGAAAAATTCGCCTCGGGACTTGACGTTTCCAGCTCGTGATCTCAACTGCGTGTAATATCGTACTCAATCGGTGCGGTATATCCAAGACGGCGTTTTTTGTGTATCTAAAGGGACAGATTCATTTAACAAGCATGCACACGATGCATGTATAGATAACTTAGGAACGGTATTTAAAAATTTAGAGGTTACGTGTGGACATCGGGCAAGCCTATCGATTGTTTGAAGTGTGTGTGAGACTGAACGATGAACGAA